TTCATTACACGTGACACAGACTCGCGGTGAGTGTGACAGCCACAAATCAAAACCGATCTCGGTGAGTTGTCTTGCACCAGCGACTCAGATATTGCCAGCGCTGCTGCCGCATGTGGTCGGCAACTCTTGGGAAAGCTCCCAACAAAGCAAACCTCAAGTGTCTCTTCATTCCACATAGTTTGTTCTTGGAAGATTGAGAGTAAAACCTTGTACAGAGTACGTATGTTTAATGTAAATGGGCTTTGATTTAGCATCAGGTGTTAATAAACAAGTTTCTCACCAACATAAACGTCCAGCAGGATTTGAATGTGGGGCTGAGCAGGTGCAGAGCTGTCCCAGAATGCACTGCAGGACATCTAGCATCCCTGCCTCTGCCCCGTAAATGCTGACCGGACCCTGAGATCATGGTCACCACAAAACCACTCTGACGCATTTCCAGAATACTCCCCAGCGGGCCATACTGCACACTATGAGAATCACATATCTCCAGAAAGGTGCAGTACTAGATACTTCAGAGTCTGTGCAAAAAAGATGAAACCATCTAAAAGGCTCTGCCGTGCGTCTGACTTGTAGTAAGTGCTTAGGAAATGGGAATTTACTTCATCTCTCCTCCCCTCCTTTTGGCCCCAGGTTCTCAGTCTGAGCAACAGGGAACATCTGTCATCAACGCTGGTCACACGGAAGGAAGACACGGTATTTCAGGGAGTGAGGTGAGTAAATTAGGCAACAAGAAACACACACCCCCACTCCCAGAAAGGCTGACAGAATAGCGTGACAGTTATGCACATAGCCAGTGGGACTATTATATTAAATACTGAAGAGCAGTTTGACTCAAGAGACTCACTTAAATTTAGGTGTAACTCTATTCCTTCCCTGCTCTGGAGTAAACTTTAAGAGAACCCAAGGTCAGGCGAGGGAAGTATTTCTGGACAAGGACGGGCCGTACAAGGGCAGCTTCCCTCTGAATGCTGGGCTGCACGTGGCCCAGCTTCCTGCAACAACAGAGCGGGATGAAGGATGCCGAGGTGACCCTGCGTCCAGACTCTCACACCAGACCCTCTGCAGAGGCTGGTCGCTCTCTCACTTCTTGCCCTTTCTTGGCCTGGCCATCTCTTGCTCATTTTAAAGTTCAGGATGTATTACCTCCTCCAGAAAAGCTTTGTGGGACCCCCCGGCAGAACTGATTGTCACTCCCTCCTCCTGTGTCCGCACTTGGTGCACTTCCGTCTACTGCGGCGTCTCCACGGGCGCTCATGCTTGACCGACTCCCCATCCGGGTCTGCAAGAACTGCATCTGGTCATCTTTATAACCCTGCCAACCAGCTCAGGACCTGGCACACAGCAGGCATCCAACAAAGTCTTCTCCCTACCCTGCCCCCTTCTCCCCCAGCTTTGGATTCTGGAATAAACACAACACAGAGACAATATCACAGAGGTTCACAACACCACTATCCAGGCTACAGATGGAAGGTCTCATTTTTAAAAAGAAGAAAGTCTTGTGTTCCAAAGGACAGTTTATTTAAAACAAAGGTGGCAATGTGTGGGAAGTAGGGAGAACAATAATTCTAACATAAAAGCACACAAGAAGCACCTCAAATTAAAAAAAGGGGGTGCAGGGAGGAAGCTATGTCTCATACATATACAAACTGCTGACCTCGATTATTTACATCCAAACTTTATAAAATAGCATTTCAAGTCAGCACTTAAGCCAGTGTTATTAGTTTTTATTACAAAAAGTTAAAGCTACAAACTTCACATTTTTAAGCTGTACACATCAGCAACAGCATTTAAGCTTTTTCCAAGTTGGTTCGAGTGCAAGCTGGTGGAAGAGGTTCTTTTTCCCCCAAACACAAAAAAGAACATGGAGTCTAAATACAATGAATACAATCCCGATGAAAACACACAGTGTGTAAGAAAGGATGGGGTGAGAGGCTGAGGAGCTGCAAATCTTTAGAGGCAATGTGGTTTGCTAGAAAGGGCACTGGAATCAGAATCAGAAGACCTGCACTGGAATCTGAGCTCCGCCATATTTGAGCTGCATGACCTTGAGCAACAGACTTCACCTCTCTGAGCCTCAGTTTCCTTATCTGTAAAATAAGGACCATAACACCTAGATCTCCCAGAGCCATTAAGTTTTAATAGATATAGGGCCATTTAGATGATCTATGGAGTGAGCTTTGGTGTTTTGTATCTTTCAGGGAATTTGTCCATTTTGTTTAAGTGGTTGAATTTATTAGCATAAAGTTGTTCATGACATTGTTCTTAGCCTTTTAATATCTGTAGGAGCTATAATGATGTCACTTCTCTCATTTCTGATATTGGTAAGAGCTACTGAAATTTAAATGGTATAATAAGTCTCTGGCATCTGGCAGGTGCTAAATAATTGTTTCCTGGGTCAGAATATACAGTCTCAGGGATTCAAGGTCATAGCTCTTAAGTTGCTTCAGAGTATTGGTCCTATCTATCTATCTATCTATCTATCTATCTATCTACCTACCTACCTACCTACCTAGCCAGCCAGCCAGCCAGCCAGCCAGCCAGCCAGCCAGCCAGCCAGCCCAACATGCATTCATCCATCTATCCATCCATCCAGCTGGTGGCTGGGAGAAGGGACAAAGGAAAAATAGAAATTTGCTTCAAAATTACTGATGAGGAAGCAATCAAGATATCCTTAGAGAATTTGAGATTTTTTAAAGATACAATTGGATGTGGGTCATTGTTTCTTAAAAGGAGAGAAGAGGTGAAGGCCACAGAGTTCCCTGGGAGCTCGAGTCACAGATGCTGAAGCTCAGGGCTCAAGGAAAGCATGCTGACCTACCCTGAAGTGAGTGCTCACGGGGAAAATGAGGACCGGCCCTCTGCCTTTCCATCACTAGGAAACAAATCCACCGGGCCAGGACACGGACCTGGTCCAAAGAAACTGATTCCTGGCCAGAGGGTCTGTCCAGCTAGACTGGGGAACAGTGGTCTGTGCTGGGCCAGCATGGTGGGTGCACACATGCCTGGAACAGAATAAACTCCGGATCAAGATTCATGACCCAAGAAAATTTATGGGGAAAAACTGAAATCTTCTTTTACTTGGATCTAGCTTAGGAAGGAAGAAATGGGCACTTCCCCTCCTGTCTGGCCAAGTGCAAAGTCCTTTCTAAAATGGAAGAGGCTGAGGCAGGCCTGTTCGCGAGCACAGCAGATGGTGTGGGGGAATGCACGCTCCATGCTAGGTTGGTGAGACTCACTTGGCTGTCAGACTTGACTAACTCAGCCGTTTTCCAACCTATAACTGCCAGTTGGAGTTATGTATTCTCTGCAAGAAAAGGTGGTCACTTTAAAGACTTGTGATTTTCCTTTTCCCTGTGAATACTGGTCCCACATGGTGATGCTATGAATCCTGATTCTGCCGCTTACTAGCCATGTTGCCTTGGGAGATACATTGCCTTTTTCTCTCTGAACTTACTCCTTCACCTATGAAGTGGAGATCAAGTACTTATCTTACGGGGTTATTGTGAAGTTCGGATCTATAAAAAGCCCACTTAGCTCAGTGCCTGGCATATATTCAGTGGTCAACGAATGGTAGCTGCCATTGATTCTTCTAGCGGGATCCCCCAAGTGTCATCTGATCTCTGTATCTGCCACATAACTCCCTAACTGGCCAAACCCTGCAGACCAACCATTGCCTCTTACATTTTTAAAAACTGGCTTCAATTGCAAAGAACAGAATCTGGCCAGAGAAGAGGAACATTCCCTGCCATTCCATCGATTTTCAGGTTTGGGAAGCAAAAGCAATTACGGAGTCAAATTACCCTATCTTTAGGTGCAGCTGAATCAGGACTCCCCCACCTAAGGGGAAGAGATATTAAAAAATAAGCAGACATTTGCCTTTCCTCACTGTCTCCTCTTTGCTGTGTGACCACACGTCATGCTGCAGAGGGATGGCTCAGTGTTGTGGGCCTGGGAAGCCCTCTGATCTGCCTGACGCCCGAGATCGCCTGCATGGCGCTGTCCGTTGTCCGCCAGAGGCCGCAGAGTCGCAGACTGGCCAAGCCTGAGCCACCTGGCTCCCCTGGGGTCCCACCACGGTCATCCACGGAAGAGACCAAGCCCAAGCAAGCTTCCCTCGGTAGGGTCCTTGGGACAACCTGACCCAAATGGACACAGGTTTCTCCCCTCGGGGAAAGGAATGCTTGCATCAGTGGCCCAGGAGCGAGGAGCTCTGGTCTCGTCCCAGCCCCTACCTCAACTTGCGTCATGATTTGGTCACCCTGTCACTTCCCCTCTCTGAGCCTCAGTCAGGCCAGATGATGCCTAGGGCCCCTTCCAGCTCTAGCATTCTGTGGGCCTGCACGGAGCCTCCTGGGGAAGAGATCTCAGTCTGAAATTCATGTATCCTTTCCAGATCCCTCAGCAGTAAAAGCAAAAAGAAAACAGTCACATATTGGAATGTGATCACAAAAGCAAAGCCCTCTACCCCTGTCTGTGAGGAAGGTGGAGCAAAATGCCCCTGTGCGATCTTCGCGTGAACAATGAGAACTCTGGACACACTTTCCCTTCTGCGTTCTGCGGACTGCACACAGCCCTGTGTGTGTGGAGAGGTCCTGGCAGGCCTGTTCCCGCACTGGGTCACGTCTCCTCTTAAGGCACTGGGCAGTAACTGTGCTGTGACTCTAGGTGGTTGGGAGAGTGCAGATGGATGGAAGGCATTGAAGCCACGAGGGGCAGTTTGCAAAGAGGATGCCAGGCTTCTCCTGGGACTCAAGAAGTAAACACAAATTCTCAAGGCTTTCCCTTGGACATGGTCCACAGCTCCAGAAGCCAGAGATGACCCACGCAAGGCTGAAACCATGGGGAAGAACTGGCCCAAACCTAATTTTTAAATGCAGCCCTGCAGAAGGGTGAGGTTGGGTCCTGGGAGCAGAGTGACCCCAACAGCCTCCCGGCGCCCCCTGCCCCCCTGCCCCACAGTACCATAATCTTACAGAAAAGAGGCCAACTGTTTAAAACTGTACCTGTACAGAGATGCCACCACACGCAGTGGGGAATCCCGTTATAATTTATATATATGTGCATATTTATATATTTTTAAAAAGTCTTCCAGAAAGAACAATCGAAAGCTATTGGGAGAAGAAAGACAAGACAACATGTAACACTTTCCCAGCTATCACTCATCCTGGAGTTTCTGTTCCTGGGGTTTAAAACTCTGAGTTTAAAAGCGCCGATATGAATCCTTTGAAATAATATAACTGACCAACTGAAATACATACACAAGGTGGCACGCTGATGGCAGGCAGCCCTTCCCACTGGCGCACTTCCTGAGCTCACGAAGGTGAAGGTGCTGTGGAGAAATGACGGGGCAGGGGTGTCGGCTACCAAGTCCGAGCGGCGAGCAGCCCGAGTTCACCCACGGCTGGTGTGCGGGCGGGCGCTCCAGGCCTCCCTCAGAAGTTTTGTTGCCGCCGCTTCTTAGCCTCGATGGCGTCCAGGATCGGCTGCCTCTTGGACTGGTACTTCTGCCGGATCTCTTCAATCTCTTGCTCCATCATGGGGTCAAGGGCCAGGAGCCTCTTCTGAAGGTCCTCCACTGTCCAACTCTTAAGCTAGAAGAAGTGGAAAGTACGGTCATGACAAAGCCCAGGTCAGCGCAGAACAGCCGAGAAGCCGAGCCTGTCCGGGCACCCAGAAGGGAAGGGTCTTTCCAGAGTCTGGGGTGGCAGTGGTTGGAAAGTGACAATTCATTCACTAACGGCATGCCCCAAACTCTATGGAGATAATTTATCCCTGGACAAGTTCTAAGTGCTAATCTCTTTGATTTACTCTGCCTTGACCAAGAACTTAACCAATAATACTTTCACCCCTATCTTTTCAATGAATTACATATCGACGCATTGTTAGGGCATTAAAATAACAGCCACTTGGGGTACGCAAAATAATGCTTGCCCCTAATTCTTGTCCTACCCATCAGATGAGCCTCTGGATGGTGACCGTGTCTCTTTCTGGATCCCACACCAGGGAGAGTGGATGCTCACTGAGGATCAGATGCTCCCCCCCCGAAATGTCTTAGGCACTGCCATAGTGATCATCATTAACACTTATCAGGTGCTAATCATACACCAGGCACCCCTCGAAGTGCTTCACACACAAGTGTCTTAAGAATAGAGACACAAGCCTTGGGCGTGGAGTGGCAGGGATAGTTGGAAACCTCTGAGATTAAGTTTCCATCATCCAGAGGGAACAAACAAGACTTAATATATAAACGAATAATAAAAGCTAGTACTTATATAGTGCTTTCTATGTGCCAGACGCTCTGTGCTCTCCATACACCCATTCATTTAATCCTGGCAACAACCCTATGATGTGCATATACTATCATCTCCATGTTATAGATGAACAAGCCAAGGAAGAAGGCGGGCAGTAACTTGCCCAGTGTCTCGTGGCAAGTAAGTGGCAGAATCAATATTCAGACCCAGGCGGTGAGGCTCCAGACTTCACGCTCTCAACTGGTATCACAGAAGAGCAGACTCGCAAAGCCCAGGTTTGAGAACCAACTCCATCTGTAGTTCAAACATGGCTCTGCCTCTTGCAAATGCTGAGACTCTGGCAAGTCACCTATCTCTCTCCAGGTGGTTCTCCCCTGTGGAAATGGGACACCCATGCCTCATTGGGCTTAACATAAGAATTAAATGCGATCATGGCTGTAAAGATGTTGGCACAGTGCGTGGTGCACCGTGTGCTTAAAGCAGGCGGTGCACGTCACAACCCTCTCTCTATATACCGGAGCCCGGGAGCGTGCTCGTGTCCGCCCCGGGTCCGCCGCTGTGGGCTAAGTGGTTGCACTGCTGTACGTACGGAGTGTCACTGAGTCCAAGCAAGGCTGGCCCTGGCTGGCAGGGGTGGGAATGAAAGCCCCCATTGTCCACAGCAGGTGGTGATTAATCCTGTGCGTTTACAACCAGTCTAATAGGTGCAGTGTTCCAAGAACTCAAAGGCTCACTCAAGTCTTCAGAGAGATTTATGGAATCACCGTGTCCTCCAGCTCCTTCCTGAGGCCTCAACAGGGAAGCGGTGTAGGAAGGGGGTGAAGGAGCCTCTTTCTGTCCACCCTTCCTTTCCAGGGTGGGGTGCGACCGAGAGGGAAGGACTGCCGTGGCCTCTCCAGGAATAGTTTAGTGCCCTGTCGCCACAGGAATTTGCCTTGGCCTGCTTCAGGGAGGTGGTCTGAGAAGCAAGAAAAGCCTAACAGTTCAAGACGAAAGGCTCTTTGTGAGGTGGGAATGCAGAGCCGAGAGGGGGGTGGATGCTGGAAAGCTGCGCTCATAAAACCACATCTTGTTTCCAGCCTGTGGTTTCAGACCAGCTGGAGTCTGGGGACTCTCCAGAGAGCAATGCTCACCTCATTTTTAGCCTTTTCAGGTCCTCCTCTGAAAAGAAACTGCCCCAAACCTAATACTGTTACTGGTAGCTGGGGTATTAATCTTTAGGATCCCAGATGGTTCGTCTCTAGTGGCTGTGCAACCCTGGACAAGTGACCTCACTTCTGAGCCTCAGTGGCCTCCCCTGGAGAAGAGACCCCGGTTCCACCATTATTGGGCTCTCATGAGGATCAGGTGGGTTAACAGGTATGATGTTCTCAGTGCAGAACTTCACATGGTATGCAATTCGCATAAACTGTAGTTATCACCACAGTTATTAATAACTGCTATTGTTGCTATTAATACTATTGTTATTATTAATATTTTGAAAAGTCTCTAATGAATCGCCCATAAACAAATTGTTCCTATACCTCTGATCCAAGTCAGAATCAAACAAGTAAAACGAAAATATTCTACTCTATTTCAGGCTAACAATACTGAAGGGTCAGCATTTTCCCACATCTGTTAACTTATTTATAGTTTAACAAAATATTTTTCATCCATCCAACCATCAAATATGCACTGAACACCTACCATGGGCCAGGCACTGCCCAAGGCACACAGGATAAAAAAAAAAAGCCAAAAACCAAAAATCACTGCCCTTGTGAAGCTTATTACATTTTAGTGAGGCGAGACAGACACCTGAGAATGAACTCAATAAATCAGAAGATTACTCTCATGCAAGAGAGTGAAAGGGGAAAGGAAAGAAAAACCTTAGTGAAGGAAGGGGAGCTGGGAATTGGGAGACTCACTCTTCATCATCCATCAGGATGAAGCGTCAACTATGAAGACATCAAGGTCAGGGAAGCGGCCCTGGCTTTCCAGCTTGCTCGGCAGCTTCAGACCAGCCCCTCCTGCCCGCCCCCCCGCCCAGGCCTCCGTTTCCCCCCATGTAAGAGAGGGCTGCCGAATGACCTCAGGTCTTATTAGACTCAGTGTTTCTTTCTGTAGGACCCATGGATCGCGAGCATCGGAATCCCCTGTTAAAGAACTGTGAGCGATCCGCTCACGCCCACTGTCCAGGTGAGGATTCTGCTCACTAAAGAAGCTGCTCGAGTGTTTCCTGTGATCCCTCAGGTCTGATAAGCCTGGTTCCACATCCTCTTCTTGTTTTCCTCATAGCGGAACTCGCACAAGGTTATTGCCGTCCGTCTCCAGTCAAGGCTTCTCAGCATCCAATTTCTATGCAGCCCTTCTGCCCTCGATCTAATCTGGAAACAACAAGCACCCTTGCTTTATCTCTGCCACCTTCGGACTAATTTACTTGCCCTAAGGCTTTAGGCTTAAGTTACACCTGACCCACTAGAACACAGCCAGCCAGTCACCGCTAATGCCTCGGTCACACTCCAGATATGGATTTTTCTGAAAACAAGCTCAGAGAATGGTTCCGTGGTGCCAAAAGTAGCATTTCACCTTCCTGGTCCTTGGTGGCAAAAATACATTTCAAACGGATATCTTGCAGTGGAGAACCTGTGGTTCTCTGGTTTTGCTAGCCAGCTTTCCGAAGGAGCGAACCCTGGCCTGGCCGTGCAGGGAGCTTGAGCTGTTCATAGCAGGTGAAGGAAGTACCACCTTTCAGGACCTTATTTGTCCCCTGGCATTTATACATCCTCTCTGTACTGTGACTCCCACATGCATGGCTCCACAGCAGCATTCTCTTCTGCACACCAGGCTCACACATCCAGGGGCAGATCCTACTTTACATGTCAGCCCCAGACCAGCTCATGGAAATCCAGCACCTTAATCCGACCAAAACAAAACTCTCGAGTCCCACCCTTCCCTCTCCCCCAAACCTGTTCTCCTCACATCCCGGTCTTCCCCATCTCAGGAGGGGCACCACCGTCCTGCCAGGCATAGAATCATCCCTGATTCTTCCTTCCCCTCACCACCCCCTGCCCACATCCCATCCTTCGATCTCATCTCTAAAACATGGGAGTAACTCAAATCCAACCTCTCAACCCAGGCCACCAGCATCTCACGGCGACAAGCATAATTAAAAATACAGAAATGAACCAGATCACATCCCCCTATGTTTCCTGCTGCACTTAGAATAAAATCCAACAACACACCAGGGCTACAAAGGCCTTCCATCTCTGGCCCCACCGGCCCCTCGAGCTTCATCACCTACCACTCTCCCCTTTGCTCAGGACCCTCTAGCCACCCTTTACTTCAAATCCTCAAACAAGCCACACTTTTTCCGGCCCCAAGGGCTACCCAGTGACTGATCCTTCTGCCCAGATAGCTCGTCCCCCGTTCTTCCTTATTCTTTAGGCCTTAGCTCACAGATCAACCCCTCAGGGAATGTGAGCAAGCCTTCCCTGAGCATCTTCTCTAGAAAGATCACCTCCCCTCATTCTCGATCTCAGTCCCTACTATACTTCCTTCAAAATGATCGTGGCACCTTGTAATCAATCATTCTTATTTCTTTTCTTTTACTTGTTGTGTCTCTTACTAGGACAAAAGTTCTATGAGGGCAGTGACTTTATCTTGCTCACTACACTACGCATAAAATTGGTTGAGGGAATGAATAATTTGCCCTTCATTTCCAGTCAAATAATAACGGAAGCCACTGAAACCAAGGAGCAAGCTTCCCCAAGCACCACCACGTGCAGGGCTCTGGGTAAGGTGCTGAGGGGACCCAGGGAGTGAGTCCTGCCCTCAAAGAGCTTCTATTCCTCTCAACACTTTTTGAAATTGAAGGAAGTCTGCTCCCTTGATTCCCATTTCTGTGTTTGATACTGACTGATAAGAAATAGGTCTCCAACCCTGGCTTAGTCACCTCTAAAAGGCCCGTCCACTTTAATTTTTTATTCTGACAAAAAAGAACTACTACTTTGGAAAGAACGAGATGATCAGAAGAAGACAACGTGATCCTTCTGGACAAGACAAAATGCCAAGCCCAGAGACAAAGGCTCCTTAATGAAGAAGGTGGGTTATGCTGAAGAGAATTGACCAAGCACAGGGATTTTCTGCTCTCTTCCTGGCAGAGGTCACAGAAGGGAGGAGAAACTAAACTAAGCCCTTAACCATGGTTATTTAGAATCCCCTGACCACCTGGATGCTAATCAACACATCAGCCTTGAGTAGATGGACATGGATGGGCTCAATCTGACCATGCTGATGTCGTGTGGCTAGACACACTCTCTAACGAACACCTCGACCCCACTCACCATTACCTTTCACCCTCC